AGTCTCACAACAGGCTGGGTGTAGTGACTCACTTACTTATTTTTTTTTAGTAGGAGTCTCAATCTGTTGCTCAGCCTAGAGGGCAGTGACATGCTCACGGCCACCACAGCCTCGACCTGTTGGGCTCAGGTGATCCCTCCACCTCAGCCTTCCAAGTAGCTGAAACTATATGTGCGCACCACCACACCTGGCTAATTTTATTTTATTTTAATTTTTTAATTGTAGATACAAGGTCTCGCCATGTTGCCCAAGCTGGTCTTGAACCCCTGGACTCAAGCAATCCTTTCACTTCCACCTCCCAGAGTGCTGGGGTTATAGATGTGAGCCACTACACCCAGCTTAGTGACTCACTTATAATCTCAGAACCTTGGAAGGCCAAACCAGGAGAATCACTTGAGGCCAGGAGTCCGAGATCAGCCTCAGCAGCAGAGCGAGAGCCTGTCTTTACAAAAAATTTTAAAATTAGCTAGGAGTGGTAGTGCATGGTTGTAGTCCTAGCTACTCAAGAGACTGAGGCAGAGGATTGCTTGAGGCCAGTAGTTCAGGGCTGCAGAAAGCTATGATCACACCACTGCATTCCAGCCTGGGTAACAGCAAGACCCTGTCTCTTAAAAAAAGAAAAAGTCCGGGCTTGGTGGCTCAGCCTATAATCCCGCACTTTGGGAGGCTGAGGTGAGTGGATTGCCTGAGTCCATGGGTTCGAGACCCACCTGGGCAACTTGGCAAGACCTCTACAATAAATAAAAAATTAGCCGGACGTGGTAGCGCGCGCCTGTAGTTCCGTCCACATGGAAGGATCGCCGGAGCCCAACAGGTCGAGGCTGCGGTGGCCGGGAGCGGCCACTGCACTCCAGTCTGGGCGACTGAATGAGACTCCAACTCAAAAAGAAAAAAAGAGCCGGGCTTGGGGGCTCAGCCTATAATCCTAGCACTTTGGGAGACCTAGGCAGGCGGATTGCCTGAGCCCATGGGTTCAAGACCAGCCCGGGCTACTTGACGAGATCTCATCTCTACAATAAATAAAAAATTTAGCCAGACATGGTAGTGCTTGCCTGTAATTCCAGCTAATTGGAAGGTTGAGCGGAAGGATCGCCGGAACCCAGCAGGCCAAGACTGCTGTGGCCGTGAGTGTGCCACTGTACTCTAGCCTGGGTGACAGAGTGAGACTCCAACTAAAAAAAAAAAAAAAACCGGGCCCAGTGGCTCAGCTAGTAATCCCGCGCCTTTGGGAGGCTGAGGTGAGTGGATTGCCCAAGCCCGTGGGTTCGAGACCCGCCTGGGCAACTTGGCGAGACCTCATCTCTATAATAAATCAAAAATTAGCTGGGCATGGTAGTGCGCGCCTGTAGTTCCAGCCACTTGGAAGGCTGAGGCGGAAGGATCACCTGAGCCCAGCGTGCTGAGACTGCAGTGGCCATGAGTGTGCCACTTCACTCCAGCCTGGGTGACAGAAGGAGACACACACACACACACAAATCCTCACAACAGCCCTGCAGGTGAGCCTCTCACCACTCCTTACCAGGAGTGTCAAGCATGCAATCCCATAATGCTGTAATTCTGCCTAGAAGGAGAAGGGGTTGTCACCCTTTTAAAATCTCATACTCCTTACTAACAACTAAAGAATACCTAAGTTACAAAGCATATCAAAATAAATACCCAAGAATCTTCTTTTTTTTGAGTTTGAGTCTCACTCTGTTGCCCAGACTAAAGTGCAGTGGCTGCTCCCGGCCACCGCAGCCTCGACCTGCTGGGCTCCAGCGATCCTTC